TTCGTCGTGCAAAATCCTTCTTCTACATATTTGGATTCTGCCATTGCAGAGGCAGAATGCAAAAATTTGTAAAAACTCTCTCTATCTGTGCTGCGTTGTTGCCTCTGCTGGGAATTCAATACACTCATTGGGTAAGTATTATTTGTCATTTGTTGAAAAGTATTAATGTAAATTTGTACTAACGCTATTAATTTTGTTCTCATTATAGATATTTGTAATTTGCGATTGTGAAGAGCAATTGAGAATGTATTTTATTCATTTTATATTAAATTAATTACATTATGTTGAGTTTAGTTTGTTCTTGTGAAATTATATTTATATTATGTTGTTAAATTATGCGTGACGTAGTATAATGTGTTGTGATGTACGAAATTAATTGAAATTAACTTCGTGCTTTTATTTTTATGTTTAGTAACACTTAGTTTCCTGTTCGAGATTGGTTGGATTTCGTGCATGGATGCGTAAAGCATGACTGCGGTCCAATTAATTCTTGAATTGTCCCATTATTTGGACAGTTTGGTAATGCATAGTGTTGTCATGTAATCTACGGCTACAGGATTAGATTTCGATTGTGGAGATTTCGGTGTCATCTCGGTACGTTCTTCGGGTGGTACGTAGGTATTTATACCTATGCCCACCTCAAGAACTGTATCGAGATGCTGCCGAAATTTATCCACGTCGAAATCTAATCTCATATAGCCGTAAGTTACGTGACAGGACTATGCATTACCGAATGGGATAGGGCCCTTACCGGAGGCATAAGGTGACATTATAACTTCGTATGAAGTTGTTGTGATACAATGTTGTGATTGTGGTTTCAGGAATCATGAGCAGAAGGTGGATACAGAACCTGAATAGATGCGCAGACGAATACTTGGATGGAATCGAGGATTTTATTGCGTTTGCACGTAGACACAACCCGGGTGCAACTAGAATCCGTTGTCTTTGTAGAAGGTGTAATAACACGTTATGGGAGACAATTGAAAATGTTGGCTTTCATTTAGTAAAGAATGGAATGATTGACACATATAGCATTTGGAACCTTCACGGGGAACAATTAGACAATGTTTAATCTTCAAATGCCACAAGGGTAGACAATATTAAACCTATTGTGGATCCTAATGAACAAGTCATTGATATTATAAATGATGCTTTTCCATTTGCATCGACCAACATCAATCAGGAAGGGGAAGATGACGTGCCTACCCCAATGGATAGTGCAGAGTTCGAACAATATGAACAACTGTTAAAAA